TCTCCTCTCTTCCCTTTCCATTTCCCCTTTTTCTTCTCCCTTCTCCTCTCTAGTCATCCTTCATTCTGCTTTCAGAGTAATCTTTCTTCCACATAGATAGGACATGTTAAAGCTCAGAACGAGCTCTAGCTGAGGACACTAAAGACACAAATGAATTTATTTGTTTGCTTTTTAAAAAAATTTTTGACTGTTTTTTTTATCTATATTGAGGAAAAAAGGGGGGTCTCTATGAAAGAATAAGGCCACTGCTTGGGCAAGATTGGACTATGGAGAGAAGGAAGACCATTTAAACTTTATTTTGTTTCTATTTTCTCTGCCAAAAGGAGTGATATTCACACTAAAAAGGACAAAACAAAAATAGCTATAAGACAATTGACAAGTAGACAAATAGGGAGAGAGTAAAAGTGGCAACTACCTGCTCATGATGAGTTCAAGTCACCAGGTCAGGCCCAAGTAAACTACATTCTAGAATCCTGAAAGATATGATTGCTGATCTGTCAGAGTTCTTTAAAAGACCATAGAGAACAAGAACAGTACATCAGTATGCAGAACTAAAGGAGGCCAAATGCCCCCATTTTCAAAAAGGAGAAGAAAATAGTCTTCCAACTACAGGCCAGTGAGCATGACTTTTATTCCTAGCAAAAATTCTAGCATGTGTTATAAAAGGATGGTTAGTGAGCATCTAGAAAAGGAAGCAGCAATCACAGAGACATTGTCAAAAACAGATCACTCCAGATGAACCTCATTTCCTCTTTGGATTGGAATACTCTACTGGTAGATAAGGGGAGCAGTAGATATAGTTTACCTAGATTTTAGCAAAGCAGTTGATAAAATCTTTCATGGTATATCTGTGGAAAATATGGAGAGAGATGGGCTGGATGATACAGAACAGTTGAATGGCCAGACTCAAAGAGTAGTCATCAATGGTTCGATGTCAGCTTGGAAGGAGTTATCTCATAGAATTCCCCTAGAGATCTATGCTTGGTCCAGCAGTATTTAACAATTTTATCAATGATGTAGGTAGAGATAAAGGTGTGATGTTTTATTGGATTTTCAGATTGGCAAAAAGCCATAGCTCAAATATAATCCTTGAATGACGGACAGAATTTAAAAAATCTTGACAAGTGAAAGCATTGGGTTGAATCTAATAAGAAGGTAATTAATAGGGATAAATGTGGAGTCTTATACTTGGATTCAAAAAATCAGCTTCCCAAGTGCAAAGTCTGTGTATGTTGAGGATGAAGTTAGCTAGGTAGTAATCTGGAAATGATTTGGGGGATTTTAGTGGACTGGAAGCTCAACAGGAGGCAACACTATGATATCATAGCAAAAATGGTAATAAGAACTTGAGAGAGATATAATATTCTTTACAAGGGAAGCAAGCAAATTCCTTGATGTAAGGGAAAACTTCCTGATATTTTGAGCTATCCAAAAGTGACATGGGCTACATCAGGAAGGGGTGGCTTCTTCTTTATTGAAGGTCTTCAAAAAGAATGACCACTTGTCAGGTTTGTTTTAGTAGGAATTCTTTGGGGGGGGGGGCGGAAGAGAGTTGGACTGAAGGGTCACTGAGGTCCTTCCAGCTCTGAAATTCTGTGATTCTATAATGGTCATGTTGGATTTGGTCTTGGTCAGGTCACATCAAGAATATTGTGTTCTGTTCTAGCGGCCACATCTTAGGAAAGACATCATCAATAAGCTGATGGGAAAGCTACTGAGCTCAGAAAAGGGTATTAAGCTGAGGAGAATCCAGAGACAACAGCCAGGATGATGAAAGGACTCAAGATTATACCAAATGAGAAGTATTTGAAGAAACTAAGTGTGGTTAGCCTGGAGAAAGAAAGATTTATGGAAGACATCACAGCTGCCATAAAGTATTTGAAGAGTTATCAAATGGAACAGAGATTAGTCCCAGATAGCAGAACTAAGAGCAGCAATGAGGAGTGGAATGGTCAGGGAACTTGCAGAGGAAAATTTAGACTTGGTGTAAAGAAACACTTACTAAAAATTATAACTTTCCCCAAACGGAAAGGGCTGCCTGAGAAGGTAATGAGTTCCCCGTCAATGAGGGTCTTCAAGCAAAGGCTGGATGAATACTTATTAGACATGACGTAAAAGAGATTCTTGGTCTTGTATGAGCTAGAGTAGGAGGTATTTCTAAACCTGATCTTTCCAGTAGTTTGTTTTTGTTTTTATTTGTCCAAGTGCCTGACACATTTAGTTTAGTCATTTTTCAGTTGTGTCTGACTCTTCATGACCCCACTTGGAGTTTTCTTGGCAGAGATACAAGAATGGTTTGCCATTTCCTTCTCCAGCTCATTTTGAAGAGGAGGAAACTGAGGCAAACAGGGTTAAGTGACTTGCCCAGGATCGCATAGCTACTAGGTGTCTGAGGCAGGATTTGAACTCAGAAAGAGGAGTCGTCCAGACTCCAGGCCTGACAGTCCATCCGCTGCATCACCTAGCTACCCCAGGACATAGTTAATAAATGTTCTTTGATTGATGAGATGATCATAGCTATAGTACTAAAAAAAGGAGTTCAGGGCATCTAGTCCAACCTCTTATTTTACCAAGAAGGAAGTTAAGGGCTAAGGATATGGCTTGACCAAGGTCACACTAATATTAATCAGTAGAGGTAGAATTTGAACCCAGGATCTCTACCTCCAGAGTCAGCACTCTTTCTACTGTACTACATTAGATCAGATCATGTTTCTTATCTCTTCAAAATCATCAATGTCTCTCTATTCTCCAAAGTAAAGTTTAGACTCTTCTGTCTGACATTCAAGGCCTCCGATTGAAGGATCTACCACAACCCTAACTTTTCAGTCATATCTCATATGACTCCTTTCCTCATACTGTACAATCTAGCCAAACCAGACCCTCAAAACAAGCCTTGCATTCTCTTGGCTCTGCGACCTTGTTCATATTGTTTCCCTGTGCCTGGAATGTTCTCTTTCCTCCTATTAAATATTTACCCATCCTTTCAAGACCAACCCAAATGTCACTTGCTCTGGAAAGCCTTCCTTGATTCCCTCTCTCAGAAACGAACTTTACCTGCTGCCCTCACATAACATTGTTATCTGTGCCTCTCTGATGCTGTGATCAGATGTCAGAGCAATATATCTATAGGTGTCTTATCTCCCTCCTGGAAGATAACTTCCATGAAGGTAGGAAACAATCAACCAATCAGCAAAGAAATAAGAAACACCTGCTCTGTGTCCAGTACCCTGCTAGGTCCTGGGGGATACAAAGACCCATGATGAAGCAATCCCTGTTCTCAAGGAGTTTACATTCTATTAGGAGAGATGATGTGTGCATCTCTGAGCATCCACCAATTAAATCTAGGGGACCAGCACTGGGCCTGTGATTTTATTACTATACAGAGGGATCCCAAAGGAGGAAATTCCCTTTACTGTGCAAATCAACACCTTCTCTACAATTTATATAGTCTTAGAGAGTTACCTAGATCACTGAGAAATTGGGTGATTTGGCCACGGTCACACATTCAACATGTATAAGAAATAGGACTTGAACCCAGTTCTCCCTGATCTTGAGGCCAGTCCTATAACTGCTATAGAATACTGGCATTCATATAAATTAAATAGAAAATAAATACCAGGTAGTTATTAGGGAGGGAGGATACCAACAGTCGTGAGGATCAGAAAAGGCTTCATGTAGAAGATGGTGGTTCAGTCTTGAAGGAAGTGAGGAATTCTAGAAGAGAGAGGTGAGAATTGCCCTTTAGGCATGGGGGATGGCCAGTGCAAAGGTCATGGGCGATGGAGTGCCACGTGTGAGGAACAGAGCCTGGACTGTGGACAGAGGCCAGACAGACATTGTGGCTGGACTGAAACATCTGGGAAGGGGGCATAACATAGAAATGAGGTTGAAAATAAAAGCTAGAGGCAAGTTACGAAGCACTTCACAAGACAGACACATTTCTATTATATCATAATGGCAATTGATAATCCCTAAAGTTGATTGAGTAGGTAAGACCTAGACTTAAGGAAAATCCCTTTGTGGGCCTCATGGAGGATAGATTGGGGTGGGGAGGCTTAAAGTAGAGAGGCCAATTAGAAGGACATTGCAATAGTGCCAGGCAGGTAATTCCCAGGCAGGGATCTTATCTAGACTTCAGAGCTCAACACTCTGTACAAAGTAGGTGCTAAATATATTTGGTTAATTGAATTCAAGGATATTTCTTAGTTTGGGGCTCCCAGTCCCTCTTAGGGGTTCCTAAAAATATTTCCTTGTTCTCAGAAAGTTCTCAGTCCATTAAACAGTAACCAACTGAAGGTCACGGCAAGACCCTTATCAGGAATTATGACCCTCCCCAAGTGTGATATCAGCTTTGGCTCAGACCCCAGTCTGAGACACCATCTATAAGAACCCTCCCAAATGGTCAGATTGGTCACCGACTGCCTACACCGGTGCCATGTTAGGCTCTGTACTCCTCGTTGCGTTCCTGAGCTATGGTAAACTGAGAGCCAGAGAGCTCCACAGATCCCTCCCAGACAGTTAATCTCTGACTATTTTTCAGTCTAGTACTTTCTGCTTAGAAAGGTCCAGTGGGGTAGAGTCAGGCCACATCCACACCAGCTATCCTGGGCCCCCATTGCTGATATGGTTCATATAGGCTTTTCTGGTCTTGCTTCCAGCCTCCAGCTGCGGTGTCCCCACCTACCCGCCCAGCCTGTCCACCCGGGTGGTGGGAGGAGAGGACGCCACGCCCCACAGCTGGCCCTGGCAGGTAAGGAAGACATGTGTGGTATGGTAGACAGAATGGCATTCTTGTTCTCTCATGGTGAGGCATTATGTAAGTGTGAGTTATTAAGATTGTCTCTAGGCCTATCCCAACAGAGGGAGACTGGCAATGTGGTTCAGTAGAAAGAGTGGGGTGTAATCCAAGAGTGCTAGGATCAGAGAAAAATAGTGTTGAGATAAATCCTGGACCTGCCAATACATCAGCAGTAGCTAATTTTTTTCAAGTTGTTTTACTCCTCTGGTCATCAAGTGTTCTTATCTGTAAAATAAGAAAGTTAGACCAGATACCCTTTGGGGTCCCTTCCTCCAAATCTATGATCTAGAATTGTTGAAGCTTTTTAAGTTAGAATAGCAGCTGGGAATCATGGGCCAAATGCTCTGCCTGAGTTTTGCCCCTCTCTCACCACCCCTCCTTGCTGGCAGATCTCCCTCCAGTACCTTTATGATGGCACCTATAGACATACCTGTGGAGGGACCCTGATCTCCAGGCAGCATGTCCTGACTGCTGCGCACTGCATCAGGTGAGTCCCCCCCACCCCTGAGCCATGGATCCTACTGCACAGAGGAAGGATACTGGGGGTCTATCTCCCTTCCCTCCATCCACAATGGGATCTGAAAGCTGCCTGGACATCATTTACAGAAGAAACAACAACACAGACCCCCAGAGCTGGACAAAAATTTCAAGTCCTCCTGGTCCAACCTGCTTCCAGATACAAAGATCTCCTTTGCAACATCCTCAGTAGATGCTCAGTCTAGGTTTATCACAAGTCCTAAGATGGGATAGTGACTTCTCCAAAGGTTCCCAGCATTTCTACCCACAGCAACAAATTCTTGCTGTTACAAAATAACATTCTTCCATTAGAATGTAGACACGCTTGCTGGACTTGTATCCCTGGCATTTAGTTCAGTGCCTAGAATTTTTTCAATTCTTAATCATTGCTTTATCTACCTATTTAGATTCATTTATCTATCTATTAATAGTATCTATCTGCCTTGTATTTATGTACCTATCTACTTATCAACATCTATCCATCCATCTGTCTATCTACCATCTGTTGGTGAGAATCAGATTCTGAATAGCTGGATGGGGAATGGATGCATGTAAAAGGAATAATAGACGGATAGATGGACATAGGAAGGTATACATAATAGAGATAGGAAGGTGGATAGATATAGATGAGAGAGAGAGAGAAAGAGACAGACAGAGAGAGATAAAATGTTGATTAAGAGTTGACAGAATTCAAGGCGAGAAACTGCTAAGCAGCAAGGAACAAATATAAGCAAGCAAAAATGGAATTTCCCCTTTGGAAACAAATTAGTTTGAAGGATGCAATTATCATTAAGTCAAGTAAAAAATGTACCAGCTATTATAATTTTGGAAAAATCAGAGCTGCAGCAAATGTCTGGGTAATGGAAGTGCCCCAGGAGGACTCACAATCTCCCAACTCTGTGCCAGGGTGGGTGGAGATAATGCTTCCCAGACTCCTCATCCAGTTCTGCTTTCTGCCTAGGTGGTCTGTAGCATAGTCCAAAGACTCACCCCATACTCTCACAGCTAATAATGTGTTGTAATCAGGATTTAAACCTCACTTCAAGTATTGCATGCTTCTCAGGAGATCATGGTGCTATTGAGCCAAAATCTACCTTCCGTAGACTCCATATATTGTTCTTAGTTTTCTCAGTTAGGATCTAAATCGACTACTTCTTTCCTTACAGCATTTGACACATTGGAAGACAATGATCATGCCTTTTCTTCTCTCACAGTTCAGTGAGGGTGATAGGGAGAGGTTTGTGGAATAAACATTTGTTGAACTGAACTAAAGACTTATGGTCCATGAATGAGCCAAGACCCAAATGTAACCAGATTCCCTCCCCATTCCCTTTATCCAGCAAAAACAGAACCTACCGAGTGTTGCTGGGCAAGCATAACCTGGTGGAGGGAGAGGATGGCTCTGTGGCAGTGGCTGTGGATACCATTTTTGTCCATGAGAGATGGTTCTCCTTGCTGGTGCGGTGAGTGGTCTCCATGCTGGCGCCTTTGTCCTCTTGGACATGGAGCCAGCCCTCAGGGCTAAGGCCAGAAAACTGGCCTCCATTATATCATCCATCCCCAATAATACCAACTCTGACCAGGTGCTGGAGATTGCAACAACTCCAATCCTCTCGCACCTACTGAAATATCCTCCCCACTGCTACAGCTCTCTCCTATAATAGTAATAGCACATTTTTATATGAGAGACTAAGATTTATACAGAGCTTTCCCTTCAGGACCCTTCAAAGATAAGTCAAGCAGAGATTCTTGGCTCCTTTTATAGATGAGGAAGTGAGGCACAAAGATCTGTGGTCAAATAGCAAGTCAATGACCATGTTAGAGAAGCCTTGTGAGTCCTAACCCAGGGCTCTTTCATCCTGGAGAGGGAGACAAGCAGGAGAGATTATCACCATCTTTCCCCCTCCACTCTCTCTCATCCAACAGAAGAAGGTTTCATGATGTCCTTACTATCCCAGTAGGAGGTAAGCTGCTTGAGGGAAGGAACTAGGACATTTATTTTATTTTATTTTATTTTATTTTATTTTATTTTATTTTATTTTATTTTATTTTATTTTATTTTATTTTATTTTATTTTATTTTCTGGTGAGGCAATCAGGGTTAAGTGACTTGCCCAGGGTCACACAGCTAGTGAGTGTTATGCCGGTGGTCTATCCACTGCACCACCTAGCTGCTCCTGGGACTACAACATTTTTCACCTCTCCACACCACTATGCTAGAGATAGCTAGGTGGTACAGTAGATAGACATCAGGCCTGGAGTTAGGAAGATCTGAGTTCAAATGTGGCCTCAAACCCTTACTAGTAGTATGACCCTGGGCAAGTCATTTAACCCTGTTTGACTCAATTTCCTCATCTGTAAAAAGAGCTGGAGAAGGAAATGACAAACAACTCCAGCATTCTTGCCAAGAAAACCCCATGGGAAAAGTCTGTCAGATCACCAAGAGTCACACAACAGAATGATTAAACAACAACAAATCCCCTATATTAAGCCCAGGGCCCCTGCACACAGTAGTAGCTGCTTAATCCATATGTCTAGAATTGGATTCTTGAATTCTGCTCCTAGCAATGACATTGCCCTCATCAAGCTGGCTGAGCCTGTGGAGCTGAGTGATACCATCAAGGTGGCCTGCCTGCCCCCAAAGGGATCCCTGCTGCCCCAAGGTTATCCTTGCTATGTGACTGGCTGGGGCCTCCTCCGGAGTAAGTGCATGACCTTCAAGGTTCCTTTTAGCCGTCTTTTGGGGAAGGGAAGGGGCACCTATCCTCAAACTGCACCACTGGATAGTCAAGCTCTAATGCCAAACTGCTGGAACCCAAAAAAGTCATCAGGCCTAGCTAATCAGGGCAGGCTTCCTGGAGGAAGAGGCCCTGTTTGTGCATAGTAATTGTGCTAGCTTCAACGCTCCTTTGCCTCTATCATCTTGATTTATTTGCCTAGCATCCCTGCAGAATACAAGTATTACTGATGCAGTTGTCTGGGTAAGGAAACTGAGACCCAGGGCAGTTAAATAATGTACCCAGGATATCATACAAATCAATCAGAGAAAGGGCTCAATGAGATCAGAAGCAGCAGCAGCAGCAGCTTCCAACAAAGCAAAAGACTTCATAGAAAGCCAAATATGTAAGAACAGCAGGACAGTGACTTGTTCCACAGCTAATCCTACCTGAACTATGCCAGGTGGCAAGGATTCCAGACCCCCTTCTCACCACTGATCACTCTTTAGTTTGGTTGTGTCCATTCTAAAACAGAGCCCCAAGAATTGGACACAAAAACTACAGACATAGTCCAGCCACATCAGAAAACAGTGGGACTCTTAACAGTGTGATCCAGGAGAAACCTTTTCAGTCTCACATTCTTCATCTGTAAAATGAAGGGCTTTGTCAAAATGATAATTAAGGATCCTCTCCACTCTGATTTCTCTGTTTTATAGTCTCTCTGGCTTCAGAATTCTTTTTTTTAAGATCCCTCCCACCTCTGACATTTTGTGTTCTAAGGGCTCTCCCACCTCTGATGTTCTCTGTTCTAACTTCCCTCTGAGTTCTGACATCCTGTGTTCTAATAGCCCTCCTGTCTCTGACTTACTGTGTTCTAAGGGCCCTCAGAGCTCTGACATTCCCCATCCTAAGGGCTTTCCCAGCTCTGATGTTATGTGTTCTAAGGCCTCTCCCAACTCTGACATTTTCCCTATCATTTCGTGCAATGGATATTGGGCTTCTGTTAATCTAGAAAGAATAAGATAACCGACGTCCTGAAATCCCCCTCACAAGTGATACACATCCTCATGCCATGTACAATTTCTTTGAATTTGGGTGGGCCTACTATGTTTGAGCGTTAGTTATCTTTCTGACAACTCTATAAGAAGCTGGGGCAGATGAGTTAGAGGGCCATGGGAAAATAAGCCAATTGTGACTTGTTCTCTCTTTCCCTAGCCGATGGCCCCATTTCTGATATTCTCCAGCAAGGCCTACTGCCCATAGTGGACCATAAAACATGCATTCGGCCAAGCTGGTGGGGCATCCTGGTGTCCAATAATATGGTGTGTGCTGGAGGAGATGGTGTCATCTCAGCGTGCAATGTGAGTTCTATTACTGAACAGTAAGCCAGGGATGAAAGAAACTGGGCCTTTTGGGAGAGCTTAGTGCAGATTCAGAGAGCTTTTGACTTTCTGACACCTTCATAGGGAGAACACTCAGGAAACCCTTTCCCAGAATTAGGGAAACCAACCAGAATGGCCTGAGGCCACAGATACCGCTTCATCTGCCATAATCAAACTTGATAAACACTAATCCATCATGCTCCTCTCTGCTTCCCAACATTATCACTGACTGTCCCTTTGGCAAAATTAATCATTCACACCCATCTCCTCACTACCACCACAAATAGACACACACTATCCCCATCATCATGGCAGTGTAGAAAAAGCATTTTGTAAACCATGTAACACAAAGGCAATGTAAGATACTGTTTTTATTACCCAATCAGTAACACCTCCCTCATTTTTAGCATCATTACCCTCTTCATTACCAGCACCAACCACCATCCTCATCACTACCAACATCACTAGCTTCATTACCATCAGCCCTATATCCACCACCAGCTCTACATTTCCATGACCAGGGAAGAAGAGAAAGGATAATTGTTTAAATAGTGCCCACTATGTGCCAGGTACTGGGCTAAGTGCTTGACAAACATCATCTCATTTGATCACCACCAACATCACCATCTCCATCATCACCTTGTCCACCACCATCATCATCTTTATCACTACCAACACCACTACCGTGTCCAGCCTCATCATCAATCCCACCACCAACACCAATATCTGAAAACTGAGTTGCTGACAGAGGCAATACCTGATCTTCTCCTATCTCTGAGTAGTATTCTACATTTCAGAGATGCTGGCTGAGATGGAGTGGTTGGAGAAACCAAGGCACTTAGAAAAGCACTAATTGCCCAAGGTCACATAAAAAGCAAGTCCATGTCAAGATAGCCACAGTTGCCTCATGATGGAAGGAATAGAAACTTTCTCTTCATGGTTCTGAGTTGACTTGTGACCAAGGCTCCTATTTCTTGGAGACAGGGAGACTCAGGTGGACCCCTGAACTGTAAGGCTGAAGATGGAACCTGGCAAGTGAGAGGTATTGTGAGTTTTGGTTCTAACGAGGGCTGCAACGTAGAAAAGAAGCCCACGGTCTTCACCCGGGTCTCTGCCTACATTGACTGGATTAATAAGGTACGTTCATTCATTTAGTCATTCATTCATACATCTATCCATTCATTTATCCGTACAACAGCAACAATAAAAAGCCAAACTGAGTGAGGGGGGTGGAGGCTCTCTTAGGGCATGGGAGTGGGTTGGGGGAGGGCCAGATTGAGATTCAGGGAAGGAGTATGGAACTCAGTGAGGAGGATGGGAACTTAACTATAGGGATAGAAAACTCATTGAGGGTCTTGGGGCTCAGTGAGGGCATAAGGGATTGGGGATAAGAATAAAGGCTCAGTGAGGCAATGTGGCCTCAAAAAAGAATGTGAGGGGCTCAGGGAATAGGATGAGACCTTAGAAAATGCATGGAGGCTCAGTGAGGGGGAAGAAGTGACTCTGAGGGGGTATCAAGGGAGTAATCCAGGGCACAATGAATGCAGGGGGCATTGTCAATGCCTAGAACTAGAGCTTAGGGAAGGGATAGGGCCTAAGTGTAAAATGAGGGGCTCAGGGGACTGGGGTTCAGTAAAGAGTTGGGGACTCATTATAAGGATCTGGGTTCAATGAGGACATGAAAGCTCAGTGAGCCAATGAGGGCTCAGCAAGAAAATGGAGGCTCAGGGAGAAGGATGTGGGGTTTGTGGAGACACAGGAAAGGGGCTCAGGGTTCAGGAAAAGATAAGATCTAAGTGAAAAGTTGGAAAGTTCAGTGAGGAGGATGGGGAAGTCAGGGACTTGAGGGAAAGGACCAGTGATATTCAGCCAATAAGAGGACCCAGAATAGGGCAGGAGAAGCCATGAGGAGAAGGCCTTCTGAGTCCTGGGCTGAAGTCTTCTGGGCCCCATGAAGACGCCCCAAGGCAGTCAAAGTCTTCAAATTATTCTCTGTTCCTCCAGAAACTGCTGCTCTGAATCATCACCAGTGTCTCTACTGGGAATCCCCTGGATGCTTCCCAATAAACCCTCCCAATCAGTGCCATCTTGGATTTTCAATAAAGTCTCCTCTCCTGCCTGTATACTTGGTTACTTGTTTGTCTGGACGCCTTCCCTCAGTTTCCCCTGACAGGCCCTAGGGCCAGGGCTTTCTGATAGGGCCTGCTCACTCCTAGGATACAGCCCCCTTCCTACAAGAACAGTTCAGAAGATTAATAATCTTGATAGGATTTAGGGCCTGGAGGGGACCTTCATCCTCACCTACCCCAGACTACATGAGGAAACTGAGATCCACAGAGGAAAAGTGACTGATTACTGTAGGATTCTATATAAGCTGCTCTTCATAACTTGGCCCCTTCCTAAATTTTCAGCTTTCTAATACTTTACTCCCCTCTTGGCACTCCATGTTACAGGGATGCTGGCCTTCTTGCAGTGCTGCAAACCAACATCTCCCACCTCTGTGTCTTTGAGCTAGCTAACCCCCACATCAGTAATATGCTTTTCTTCCTCACCTCTGCTTCATCATCCTTAAATCCCAGCTCAAATCCCACCTTCCATCCCAGCTGATATAATGTAACATTACTCTTTCTCTTTTATAGATCTAGTTACTTGTATGTTGTTTCTACACTAGAACAAGCGTTCACTAGGGGCAGGGATTGGTTTTTCCTGTTTTCTGTATCCTCAGCACTTAGGATAGCACCTGGCATAAATGTTTGTGGATTTATTAACTGACTGACTAACAAACTGTTCAAAGTCACAAACATCAGAACTGAGATTCACACCCAGGCCTCTGTCTCCAAATCACTTGCTCTTTTTATAAAAACTGCGCTGTCAGCTCCCTGCTAGGCTCCGGGTGGCCCAGGCAGGCCTAGGGATTTGGGAGGATCAGGAGACGGGGCTGAACCTGTTCCCTGGGCAAAGTCAGGTAAGAAGAGGGGGTGGTGGTGGTGGTATATACCAAGGATAAGCTGTCCCCAGGCTTAAACAGAGGTACCGAATGACTGCATCACCCCCAGGCCTGATCATTGTTTAGTCATCTCAGTTGTGTCCGACTCTCCCTCACTCCATTTGGGGTTTTCTTGGCAAAGATACTGGTGTGATTTACCATTTCCTCCTCCAGCTCATTTTACAGATGAAGTAACTGAGGCAAATAGGGTGAAGTGACTTGCCCAGGGTCACACAGCCACTAAATGTTTGAGGCCAGATTTGAATTCTAGATGAATCTTCCTGCCAGGCCTGGTACTCTATACACTGCACCACCTAGCTGATAGGAAGTCAATAGCACTAATAGGCATCACCCCCAATTCTCTGAGCTTCAAGGTACACAAATAACTTTCCTCATTAGAACCCCATGAGGAGGAATTATAAGTGCTATCATCCCCATTTTATAGATGAAGAGACTGAGGGTCAGTTTCTGGGTGCTTAAGGTTACCCACTTGGGAAGTGTCAGAACCAATCAACTGGCTCCAGGTTCGGTGTTCTTTGCTGCCTCTAAACATAAATAAAATAATTAACAATGCAATATTGATTTTATTATACTTAAAAGAGATTTAACTTATTTTATTAATCATTTTAATTTAAGTAATTGATAGATTATCATTTATTTCAGCCATGTTTATTTCAACTAAAACCAGTGTTATAGAAGATTCAGTGGTAGAGACAAAACCTTTCCCATAATTGTTTGAAGAAAGAAGAGATCCCTCTGGGTTGCAGTAGCCAGGGCAGGCTTCTTGGAGGATGGAGGGCTCAAGCCAGGCCATCCCCACCCCCACACCCCAGCATGACTCTACTGTATATTGTATGCAGCCTGCCAGAGCCACAACTAAGATAGGGCACCCAGGACTTTCTCACAGGTGCCAAAATTTGATTGGATAATGTTTTATTGGATAATTTGTTCTAGAGGCCACACTCCCTGACATCTCTACAGCTGAGATGGGCGGGGAATGGAAAGATGGGACAGGGAAGAGAAGGGAGTAGGTTCACTAGCAGTAAAAGCTGGTGGAGAAGGAGAGAAGAGAAAGAGAATGGGCTGCCCTAGTCTTCTGCTGCAACTACATTGACCCATGCACCAAAGGAACTTGGGAGGGGAAGGTGGGAGCAGATGATAGATTAGAAGTGGCCTTCTCCACCAAGAACTGGGGATACAGCAGAGAGGCAGGGTGGAATAAGGGGAAGAGAGCCTTTGATGGGGCCTATATAATGAGGACTGGAGCATGTCCAAAGTGCAGATACAGTGTGCTGGTGCAACTTCTCCATGTAAAGGAAGCTCGGGAGCCTGCTTCCAGTATGGGAGTGACACCCTGATGTATGTACCAGTCCCCTCTTATACACACATGTTACTCACCTGCTGGCAAAGAGGTGATACACTCCAGATGAGGAAGAAGAACTACATTTTTAGACATGGCCACCATGTGGAGTTGTTCTGTGGGGTAGCAATGGTAATGTCAAAAAAGAAGGGGGGAAAGAAGAAAAAAAGGAAGGAGAAGGAGGAGGAGGAGGACAAGGGAGGGAGAAAAAGAAGGAAGGAAGGAAGGAAACAAAGAAAGAAAAATGAAAGAAAGAAAAAGGAAGAAAGAGAAGCAGAGGAAGAACATTAAAATGTTTTTTAAAGTATATAAAGACCTGCAGAAGGGCATTCAAAGAAAAGCAAAAACAAGCAGGGACATCTTGAAAGTTACCAGTGAATTTTGTAACATATTTTCTTTTTTTAAGGGATGCAGTACAGAATAGAGATTCATGACACCTGAGATGCTTCCTCATAAGGAAGACACTAGAAAGCCTTCTCCAGGTTCAGTGGGCCAGCAGCTACTTAAACCATGTTCACAATATATCTACTTTTACCAGACAGCAAATACGTTAAACAAAACTTTGGTAGGAAGCTCACAGTGAAAATATAATTTTTAATTCCTACAACTTAATGGTATTTATTAGTAATGATTAATAATCATGAATTTATTACAAAATAAAAGACATTTAATCAAGCAGACTAGCAAATAGAGTGAGGGGAAAAGATCTTCCTATGTGCACATGGGATGTATTTTCCTATAGGTCACCATACTTACCAGTGGAAAAAGGGAATGGAATAAACATCTACTAAACTCCTACCATGTGCCAGGCACTGTGTTAAGCACTTTACAAATATCATCTCATTTAAGGTAGGTGGTATTATTATCCCCATTTTACATATGAGGAAACTGAGGCAGATAGAAGTTAAGTGACTTGCCCAGACTCTCACAGCTAGTAAGTGTCTAAGGCTGGATTTGAAATTGGGTCTTTCTGAATCCAGGTCTAGCATTCTATCCACTGCATTGAATTCAATGACCTCTAAGGTCCCCTCACACTCTAGATCAATGATCTATGATCCCATGAACCTCATTCATAACTTAGTCCCATCCCTTCACTAAGCCTTCATCCTGCCACCAAGTTCCCTACACCCTCACAGAGCCCCATTCCCTGAATCCCTATCTCAGGGGTGGGGAGCCTGCACTTGTGGCCCTCTAGGTCCTCAAATGCAGCCCTTTGACTGAATCCATTGGACTTCACAGAACAAATCTCACGTCTATTCTTTGAAGTTTGGATTCAGTCAAACGATTGCACTTGAGGACCTAGAGGGCCACATGTGACCTTGAGGCTGCAAGTTCTCCACCCTAGCTCTGTCTTTTCCCTGAGATTCCCCTCCACTCTCTGAGCCCATGTATGCCTTTACTGAACCCTCATTGGCAGAATCAGCATGGTGTGGTAGACTGGAGTCAAAGGCCATTAAGCATTCTAGCTCGCTCACTTGATACTTATTGGACAAGTGACTTCATTCTCTGAGCTTCAGCCTCTTCATCTGTAGAGTGAGGGGGTTGGACCAGATGACCTGTGAGGCCCCTCCAACTCTGTCCCTTTGATCAGGTCCAGCTCCCAAGGGCAGACTCCCCCAACCCCGCCCCACGCCATTCAAGGCATTGCAGAGGACACAGTAATCTTTCCCTCAAGAAATGCTAATTGATTGATACAGGAACTGATAAGCCATTCACTACCTGATTGGATCAATGTTCCCAGTGCCCAGAACTGGCCCCTGAGTCACCACTGCCAAGGGCCTGGCTCAGTAGCACCATGTTGGCCTGGGGACTCTCTCAGGAAGTGAGGAGTGGAAGCAAAGCCAGGTCCCTAATCAGTTTTCACCTGACTCTTTTCTCAGGTTGCCTAGACAACTGGAGGCCTTGAGAAGGTGTTGACAGGGACAAAAAGAAGTCATATGCCCCCTTCCCCTTGTTTCCTTGGCAGCAGATCTCCAGATCAAATACAAAATCCTCAGCTTGGCATTCAAAGCCCTTCCTAACCTAACCCCTCCTACCTTTCCAGTCTTCTCATTCCTTACTCCCAGTAGGAACTCTTTGATCCAGTGATACTGGTTTCCTTGTTCCATGAACAAGACATCCCTGGACTCCAGGCATGTTCTCTGCCTGTCCCTCTTGTCTAGAATAGAATGCTCTCCCTTCTCATCTCCACCTCCTGGCTTCCCTGTCTTCCTTCTAGTCGCAACTAAAATCTCACCTTCTACAGGGAGCCTTTCTCACCTCCCCTGAATTCTAGTGGCTTCCTTCTTAATTGTTTCCTATTTATCCTGTATATAGCTTGTTTGTAAATATGTGTTCGCTTGTTGTCTTCTCCATTAGACTGTCAGCTCCTTGAGGGCAGGGACTGTTATTTGCCTCTTTTTGTATCCTCAGCATTTAGAACAGTGCCTGGTACATAGTAGGCACTTCATAAATGTTTATTGACTGACTGACATGCAGCCAAACAGACTTCCTTTTTTCCTTCTAAGCAAAGCAACCTCTGAAGCTTATTAGCTGCTTTGCTCTGGAGGCAGAGTCATTTAAAGGGCTTAAGTCATGCTAAAAAAAAAAAAAAAAAGTAAAGTGCTTAATTCAATTAACCCCTCAACTTCAGTTTCTTCGGGCAACTAGGTGGCACAGTAGATAGAGCACTGACCCTGAAGTCAGGAAGACCTGAGTTCAAATCC